AACTCCAGCAAATGGCCTCCTCAAATTCCAGACTTTACAGAGTGTTGTTAAAAGAAGAGGGGATGCCACATCATGGTAAACGTGGCCCTGTCCCAACATTTGTGAGGTGTTGCTGCCATCAATTTGAAAATTACCTTTTTTTTTTTTGTTAAAATGGTACATTTTCTCAGTTTATACATTTGATATGTTTTCTATTTTCTATTGTTATGAAAATGGGTTTTTGAGATTTGCAAATCATTGCATTCTGTTTTATGTAGATTTCACACAGTGTCCCAACTTCCTTCCTTCCTTGAGCATTTTTATGAATTTTAAAGCATGAGCAAACCCTTAACATTAAAAAGAAGTAAAGTTATTTTAAGACATTTATAATTAGAAAATTCCTAGATTATTCCAAGAGGGAACAAAACTAGAGGATTTAGATGAGGAAAAAAAATGGAAATCATAGAAGATGCACTTGGTGACTTTTCTTTCTGTTAGTTGCCTGGCTTTTGTGCTAACACTCTTTCTCCAATAGTTTAGATCACTAACTCACAAGTATGCAGGGATAGGACAGCTGACTTTCCTGATTTACATACTTGTTTCAGGTCTGTGATTTACCTTAATGCAAAAAATAAATCACAAATAAATCTATATTGAACTATAAGATGATTGTAAATGTGTTGCGTAAATCTTTAGGGATGTTTCCTTAAGTTGAGCTTCTTTTATTCAAACGTCTGAAAGAGCAACAGCCTGAATTATCAATGGCAACCAGTTTATTTATCTTTTTCTGTCTTACTACATTGAGAAAATTAAGAGATATTAAAAGGGATCATGTGACAGGTTACTATGGGCAACACAGACAATTATTCCTTTTAATTTATTTCTTTACTAAGCCTGCTGTATTGGGTCTGTTGTGGTGATTTACAACAGCTCCTGTTAATAAGTTAGTGAGGGAGTAATAAAGATTTAATATAAACCTTCTGCACTATGGAGTGGAAAATAAGTAACAAAATGGCTGCTAACACCCGCAACTTAATACCTATAAGTGAATGGTGCTAAAACATATATAAAAAATGGCGTAGCGCTCATATATAACACATATACATATAAATAAATGAGTAATAATCAAATATTATGAATAATAAAAAATCATGAATGATGATACATAAAAAAAATATGAATGGTGGTACATAGATAAGCAGTGACCTGATCCCCTCTGGGATCTTAAAGTGACCTAAAAACTTGTGAAAAGTGACAATAAAAAAACAAATAAACGTGGTCCTAATTGGACCCAATATGGTAAACACACACACAAAGTGCTGAACCAATACCCGAATCCCTAATTGGGATCAGTGGCTGAACACAGCCTAAAAGGCAAACAAAACAAGTGCCACATACAAGTGAATCCCTGCACTGGGGGATAATCCTCCTATATAAAGTGAATAGTGCTCAGTGACAAAAACAAACTCCAAAAAATGCACAATAACTAGAAATCACAACCTCCTCCCCACTGAATAATACTCAAAATAAATCCCAAAATAATTCCTAAAAATAGTATAGCGAAATATACTTATAAGGCATTATTTTTGGGATTTATTTTGAGTATTACTTTTTTTGTTTTTTATTGTCACTTTTCACAAGTTTTTAGGTCACTTTAAGATCCCAGAGCGGATCAGGTCACTGCTTAGTGAGGGAGTAATACTTTTTTAAATTTTTTTGTTTAATAAATAATTGATTTTATTTTTCCTGGATTTTAAATCTCTCCTACTTTTTATTTTGATAAATAAAAATAATTATTTTTATTTTATTTTTTTATTAATGATTAAATCACAATATTAAGAGCTTGTATGCTAACATTAGGCTCTTTACATAATAGGTTTGTTTGCTTGGATAATTTTTTCAGAAATGTTATTGAAGCGGTCCTTGGACTTTGCTGTTACAATGGTTTTGGAAGATCTTATAATGCAGTTTGCATTACGATACAGTAGTCACCAAATATTCTACAACGCCCTCAGTCAAGCTGAGTAAGTGTCCCAACATAAGAGAAATTAATGTCTCTTGTAACTGTGTGTGTGTCTTCATTTAAAGAATGACCGATTTTGAGAGTACTGCCCTTTCTCAAGTTCACAAGTGAATAAACATAAAGGCACAACAAAATGTGTATTATACTTGTATATGCCCGCACCATAAATAGAAATCAAACTCACTGAGCAGTGATTATTAAGTGGATAATCATATATACACACAATGACATCTTTATTATTATGACAATCCTCCTCGCAAGTTATATGCTCACATCTAATGTCAAGCCAATGTAATTTAACAAACTATCTAACAAACTATCATGTAATATAGAAAACGTGATGTTATAAAAATACACAATGTAACAACCTACAATGATTTCTCATTCATGCACTGAATCAAGAGCAGTCCTTCACAGTTTAATAGATAATAGAATACAATCATATACTGTCATAATGCACAATAAACGTTTACAGCAATAAATATAAATCATCATCCTTGATTAACCCAGATGGATACATGATGACAATTTGTGAATCCATCTGACTTCTTTCTTTTTTAATTCCAAGGTCCAATCCCCTCCCCTCCTCAGTCTAAGCATTACTTCAGTAATCATAAAACGCAATTCATTATCCTTGTGATCTTTTTTCTTAAAATGTCCAGGGACAGGTAAATTTGGTTGTTCTGGTCTGAGGGATGAACAATGCTAGACAAAGCAATCTTTTTTTTTTTTTGTGGTTTCACCTATGTACATAGATCAACTCACATGGGCAGTTCATGAAATAAACCACAAAAGAAGACTGGCACATTAAATGTTGTCAAATATAATATAATTTATGTGTATGAGGGTGTATGATCTCATTGCCCTCCATCATCAGAGAACATTGTATGCAACTCAAAAAGGAAAAGGATGCTACCCATTTGGGGCCAAGAAAAGTGAGTTTCTGCACCTTTGGGACTGAACAGTATTTCAGTTTCACATACATATCGTTCAAATTATAATTTTTCTTGAATACCTGTATGTGTAATGTATATGCTAAAATTCCAAAATCTCAAGACAAGCATCTGACAACATATACCAGCGTCTCTTGATGATATTAAAAATGTTTTCACTCTGAGAATGGTACTGTGTGGTGAATGGAATACACCTGTTCTTCACTTACCTATGCTTGACCTCCTGATCTGTAATACCCATTCTTTGTACTCTCATTCTTTCCGCTTCAACGGAGAGAGAGAGAGACCTCTGGTAAATATACAGTACATTGTGGATTTATTAAAGGCAAATGGACTGTGCACTTTGCAAGTGCAGTTGCACTCATTTTCCCCAGAGCTTAGTGAATGTGATGAAGCTGCATTGAGTTCCAATATTCAATCATGTGCAAGAAAAAACATTTTTTCTTAAATTTCCTTTCACCTAATATTCTTTACAAAGTTAAGCTTCACAACATTAACAAAGCTCTAGAGAAAATGCGTGCAACTGCACTTGCAAAGTGCACAGTCTATATGCCTTTAGTAAATTCACTTGTGTGTATTATGCAAATTCTTAATAAGTTAACAGGTACTATATGTTTTAGGGAGGTACCACTTGGCAGCTATGTTAGATCTCCACTATCATGCTAATCTCTTGAAATGTTTGCTTTATAACACTCAACACCATTTACCATGAACAGAAGTTGTTGATTCCTTTATCAGTCTACTTTATCAATGTTTGACATGTTAAGTTGCAATGCTTAAAGGAAAAGGAGAAAAGTAGACAGAATACTAAAAAAAGGCCAAAAAGTAACATTATAAAAAGATAAATGCTTATTCAATCACCTTTTTAATTTATACCATACAATCTAAAATATTCTTTTACCAAAATTTGGTAAGTCTTTATCAGTTGGTAAAATCTTTCAACAAGATTTTACTGGATTATTTTTACCTGTCTTGAAAAATGGCACAAACAAGAAGAGAATAGCTTAGAGCAGATGTATAAATAGAAAACACTGTCAGAACTGATATTTCTAGTGAGTAAAAATTGCAGCATATCAATTTTGACCTTTTATAAATATGCTCTAGTTTTCCCACTATTTTTATTTTTGATAGATGTGATGAACCTGTAGCTAAGAAATCTTTACATTAAAAAGCTTATAAAAGTAACTGTCTTAGAGCGGAAGTAAAGTCAACAATACCTGTCCTTATTTGCATACAGACTATGCATACTACTCGTTAATCTAATCAAAATCCTCCAAAGCCTTTGCAATCTTGAAATATAGCTGTTATGTCTCCATGTTGGTGATCCTGGTAACGTCGTGATCTGAATTGTGCCTGCTGGGATGATGTCATCATGCCTGGCATAGGAACTCTGTTTACATCATGAGACTCCATGTTACTAGCAATGTCACACAGGGGTTGGGAAGTTAAAACCTTAAAGTGCCACCTATTTGTTTTACTCAATGATGTGATGAAGGTAAATGCAAGCACAGGGCTAGAGCAACCAACACGAGAAAATTGAATATGAGCCAAAAAAGGTTTTTGTCCTAGTGGCTATCATACTTTATCTCTTCATTAAACCCTAAAGTGCAAATGTATTTTCTTTCACATGTATTGAATGCACTTATTTGCTTATTGGTTATTGTTTGTAGTGTGTGTACTTGTTGTCGCCAGATGTCTCTTCTGTTGTGTGACTTTGAGTGTATATAACAGCAAGCATTTTTGAAGGTACTGTAAACCAGTCCTACAATAGATATACATGGCTGTCCAAACCCAGTGTGCTTTTGGCTGCATAAGAGCATCCAGAGAGGATGCTGGAAAGACATTATAAAACACGTTGGGTCTGAATGTCCCTAGTGCAGGCTTTCTAAACTTTAGATTACCCTAAATAATGCTTTAATTATGCTGCAACAAAGTGTGCTGGAAAGCTAATATGAACATACACTATATTGCCAAAAGTATGGGGACACCCTCCAAATCATTGGATTCAGGTGTTCCAATCACCTCCATGGCCACAGGTGTATGAAATCAAGCACCTAGGCATGCAGACTGCTTCTACAAAGATTTGTAAAAGAATGGGTCACTCTCAAGAGCTCAGTGAACTGAAACATGGTACTGTGATATTTTGCCACCTGTGCAATAAGTCCATCTGTGAAATTTCCTTGCTACTAAATATTCCACGGTCAACGGCTAGTGGTATAATAACAATGTGGAATCAACTGGGAACAACAGAAACTCAGCCACAAAGTGGTAGGCCATGTAAAGTGACAGAGCAGGGTCAGTGCATGCTGAATTGCACAGTGGGCAGAAGTCACCAACTGTCTGCAGAGTCAATAGCTAAAGACCCCTAAACTTCATGTGGCCTTCAGATTAGTGCAATAACAGTGCTTAGAGAGCTTCATGGAATTAGTTTCCATGGCTGAACAGCTGCATCCAAGCCTTCCTTCAGCAAGTGTAATGCAAAGCATCGGATGCAGTGGTCTCTAGAGCATTGGAGACGTGTTCTCTGGAGTGATGAATCATGCTTCTCTGTCTGGCAATCCGATGGACTTGTCTTGGTTTGGCGGTTGCCAGGAGAAGAGTACTTGCCTGACTGCATTGTGCCAAATGTAACGTTTGGTGGAGGGGATTATGGTGTGGGTTTGTTTTTCCAGGGGTTAGGCTTGGCCCCTTAGTTCAAGTGAAGGGAAATCTTAAGGTGTCAACATAGCAAAACATTTTGGCCAATTTCATGCTCCCAACTTTGTGGGAACAGTTTGGGGATGGCACCTGCCTGTTCCAATATGACTGCTCACCAGTGTACAAAGCAAGGTCCATAAAGACATGCATGAGCGAGTTTTGGTTGGAGGAACTTCATCGGCCTCAAACCGATGGCCAGGCCTTCTCTTCTGACACCAGTGACAGACCTCACAAATGCACTTCTAGAAGAAAAGTCAAATATTTCCATAGACACAATCATAAACCTTGTGGACAGCCTTCGCAGAAGAGTTGAAGCTGTTATAGCTACAAAGGGTGGGCTAACTCAATACTGACCCCTATGGACTAAGACTGGTATGCCATGAAATTTCATGTGCGTGAAAAGGCAGGCGTCCTAATACTTTTGGCAATATAGTGTAGCTATCTGATAAATTCTCCAATCTAAAAAACTACAGTAAAAGCTTTAATCACTATATATCAAGAATCATTATTTAAGTCCAATATTGGACATGGATTTTCAGCCTACATTTCAATTTATGTCACAAAATTTTGGAACTAGCAACAATAGATTTGCATTGCATTTGCTATGACTGAATGGTTTCCTTAAGTTAAAAAAATTCAGATGTACTGTAACAAGGTTTGGTTCAGATACACCACTCCTGTTGAGGGCTGCACATCTAACAGTCCCCTTTCTGTTGCATTTAATACTGTATGATTACTACTTGGTTGCATCTTTCAAACCAATACCCTACAAAAAATCTAAATAGTACTTTAATGGTACCACTGTAGTATGCCTTCATATATATACAAATACAAAATTGTTTTCTATAGTTTAAAATGTATGCTTAAGAACCAAAGCCCATTGCATGTGTTATTAGTGTTAAATATTTCATTATACATGGGAATCACCCATTATTCAACCACTTCATTGCAGTCGAGAAGATGGAAAATTGGGTCTTCACATTTAATGTGTTTCACAAGTCAGTGCCTGCTTCTTCAAGAAAGACACAAAATGTATACATATCTGCAACAAAAACAGATAGGTTATATTGACCAATATTACATCATAGTCAACAATGCCATCTTCACATTTGGGATTATGCAACCTACCCCAGAATCACAATAACATGTGCAAAATGTTAAAAATGATAAGAAAGATGAACACTCCCACGAACAGGATCATTAAGTATCCAAAAACACCATTTTCCATATTTTTGACTGCAATGTCCAAAAGTGGAATAATGGGTAATACACATGTATAATGAGAAATGTAACACTATTAACATGCGCAATGGACTTGTTCCTAAGGATACATGTTAAACAATGGAATAAAGTTTTGTATTGTTATATACATGAAGACCTATTAGTGTGGCACCATTGAAGTCCTACTTAGATTTATTTGGAGGGTTTTGTTTTGTAGGATTCAACAGTAAGGATTATGGAATGTAGTAGGCATATATTTGCCAATATCACCCCATTATTTTGTATGGTTGTTCAGTACTACTTGGTTGCCTTCAAGACTTTAGCTTTGGAGTATGGTGTCTGACTGTGACCTCAGAACAAGTGAGGAGGAAATCAAGAGCAATACTGTAAGAAGTTAGTCACAAGTCAAAGATGGAAAGAGAGGACCTAAAAGTCAACATGAAAAATGTAGAAAACTTAATAACAGGCAGCAAAGTAGCAAGGTCAAGACAAATCAGATCAAAAACACATAGTCAAAACATAAACTAGTGACAGAGCCACTAGTAGCTAGGCCAGGATCTAAAATTAGGTAATCCTATAAGAACTGAACTCCAGCACATTACTGGAGATATGACAGATAATAATTTAAAAAGCAGAGAAACTTTAAATGACATTGTATTGATGCTCAAATACATGCACAAAAGCATGGAGCCATACATTGCAAAGTTACCCATATGTTTTCTAGAATATGCAAGCACATTACCTAGAGCTAAGCATAGATACCACAAATGTGCACACAAGTGTTCATGTTAACAGTGGAGCTTAAAGGAAGAAAATATGATACAATTGGCATAATGTAGAAAACCCCTTTTTTCTATGGACTTAACAATTTATTTAGAAAAAAAGTAAGTAAGATTTTTTTAATGTACACAGATGGCCCTTTGTAAACTTTATGAAATACTTGGGAGTTCAAAAGGCTGTCTGTCTTCTGCTTGGAGGAATAGTAAGCCAAACAATACTTTACCCATAGTGCCATTAAACATTGCCTTTGTACTAATCTTTATTACATTTATGGAAGCTCTCTATACCAGCTAATTCTTCCTCATCCATCCACACTCTGCAGGATTTTACCATAAATGTTAGAGCCTCTGCTAGCCTACAAGTTCTTCTTGCCACTATATAAATCATTTTTAAAATCGTTATTCTTTTTTCTGTTTAAATTTATCAAAAAAGAATCAAAGAGCTATCCTTCAGTAAAGTAACATGAAGAACAAGCAAGAGAGGTGAGCTTTCATTGTGAATATAGCTTTACCAACAGATTATAAAGCAAACACCTTGTCTTTACTTTTTCCAGTCTTCAGGGATCATTTCCTTTGATTTCTTCCACAAAAGGAAAGGTGGAGACTTTTTCTATAAATGATGAATATACTTTCCGACAGAAGTTGTTCAGTGGAACTGCTTCTTTAACAACTGTAAAAACAAAAGGCTTTACTGAGAAACTGACCCCAAGATCTAAGCTTCTTGCAAATCTGGACTGACTGAACGTATGTAGAACCTGAGAATGTCATATAAAGCTTGCTTATTAAGATAAATATTTTTGCAATTAGAATCACAGTCTCATATAGACTCAGTGCTAGAGGAGATTCTAGCTTTTTGCTGCCTTGTGAAAAGTAAAAATCAAGCTCTGATAGTCCTCTTCTGGCTTGAATGATGCTATGAGTCCAGAGAATCATGGACAAACTCTGTGTGTGTGTGTGATCATGTCAGCCTGGACTCACTAGAGAATGCTTCAGAAAACCACATGCATAAGTCATAAATTAGGTTGGTTATAGGAGGGTAGCTGCTTCACTAATAACAATCATTATTTATTGACCATTTCCTCCAACTTGATTAAAAGGACAATACAGTGCATATACAGTGATGTTTGTAATTGTTTCCTAAAATGATTAGTACCTGCTCAGACATAAAATTTCCAACAAGTTTCAAAACCATCATTTGAGTTAACAGATGAAAAAAATTTAAGTAAAAAAATGGTCACATAGGTCATTGCTTATGCAGACATTTCAAGCAGTACTGAAATTGGGTGATTGGAATAACAGACCCAGGTGTAGTCTGATTTTCATTTTAATGTGGTTGTAAAGTAACTAACATGTTATACTTACCTGCTCTGTGCAATGGTTTTACACAGATTGACTCCAAACTTCATCTTCTGGGGTCCCCTGCTAGCACTCTTGACTCCTCCTCTTTTCTGAGTGCCCCCATATCAAGCCACTTGCTATGGCGGTACTTGTGTAGGCTTGATCCTGAGTCAGGCTGTATGCGTCTATAGACACACACAGCATGGCTCAGCCCTGCCCCCCTGCCCTAACAGGCTTTGATTGACAGCAACAGGAGCCAATGGCTTTTAGCTTTACAACCACTTTAAGTATTTTTTATTTTCTACTTTTTAGGACATTTTTAAGGAAAAATGAATTTCCTCAATGGACCAGTTGACATTGCTCAGATAAGCACCATTTTAATGTTGTAGTCTACTAAAAAATATGCTTTCCATGCATGGCTAGGCTAGTAGAGAGAACAGATCATTCTATATTTCTAATATTCCTGTGAAGTAGAATAGTGCTACAAAAAAAAAATAGTATGTGCATATACTCCTAATCTGAGCTTATTTCTCTTACTTATGGGATTTCCAGCTTGATGAACTGAAGAAAAGTAAACTCTGTGTTCTGTTTCCTATATCATCGAAAAAGTTACCCTTTCCTACTAGAGCACTTTGCTTTCCCATAAAAAACAAGCCCAACACTTAACTTCTAAAGGGAACAATTAACCCTCCCTTAACTCTAACCCTTAACATGAATATTTTTTAATCAGAACTTTAAATCAAACCATTAGCACTTAACCTCTCTAAAAACCTAAACCCTGAAGGAAACATTTAAACCTGCCATAACTAACCTTACACTTAAACTCACTGAACTGAATCTAATGCTAACTTTTCCCAGTAAACAAACTCTTAACATTGACCCGTATTCTCATCCTGTATTATGAGTCAATATAAATCAGTGCCTTGATTTTCTCTTTAAAAAGAGAAATCTAAACCCTGTGCTCTGGGTTCACCCCCTTTGCCTCTTTAGTGCCACCCTTCTTTCACTGTGTCTGTTTTTTAAGTCTTGGCTTTTTTTTTTAGATAGTTGAACAAGTGTCACAATGGATTATTTTGGCACCACATTCCTAGCAACATAAATATATATCTAGAAAAGGAAAGACAAAAAAAAAACAAAACAGGATTTTCCCAAATTTGGAAAATCTTGTTTTTTTCTTTCTTTTCTTGATATATGTTTTTTTTAGATATCTTCAGGCTGGCAATGTAAGAGCTACTTTTCCCTTTACTACTATCCAGTGCTGGCCATCCCTCAAAGATGCAACACCATTTTCTACATCACTTTATGTGAGTTAAGGACATTATATTTCAAGTACCCTTAGGGAGAAAGTTCATGATGCCTCGTTGTCACATGATGTCCTCACTCTTCCAGGTTAAATGGCATTTAGCTATCACTATGTTGCTCTGATGGTGAAGAAAAAAAAAGAATACCTGGACTTGCATTAAAATGTTACTAAACCCACAACAGTAAAATCAGTTTGTATATGTAGTAAAGCAAGTGTGCTATACTCACTGTAGAACCTAAGAGGTTAATCCTCTGCATTCTGTAAAAAGGCTGTTTGATCCTTTCTTCTCTGTTCCTCC